TTCTCCATTATTTCAGTTCAGAAAGTAGCTATATCGTTTTTTTAGTTCATACGATTGCATTGGACACATATATCTGAATGGAGGCACAAAGCTATTTTTATTTTTATTTTAAAAAGATTGGTGTTTGCTGCTAAGGACAAAATGACAGGACGTGTCTTTTACTTGCAAGATTGTGACTAGCCATTGGAGCCAGTGGCCTGAAAATGATTTCATCAGTTTGCTTGCTTGCTGTGTTCAGCCGTGAGGCGGGGAATCGGGAGTGGAAAAGGCAAAGAAATTAAGATGATTAGAAGCTTTAAAGCTTTGTGAATGGTAGAGTAGCTCCCTCCTCAATGAATGTAAATAATAGATGAAAGACTGAGAATGACAACAAAGGCTCAGGGTGCTTAAGAGAATGTGTGCAGCCTGAATGGAGGTCTGTGGCTCAGGGCCAAAGGTCTTAGCTTTGAGTGTAATTAGAAGACAATACAAAGATGTCATTACTAGCAGGTGAAATGTTCAGCACGTGGCCTCAAAAATAGCAGTTTTAGCCTTTATGACTGTTGAATTGGATTATGGACTTTAATTATTATTTTTTTAAAAGTCTTTACAAGGTGTCCCCACAGTTTGTTCTGAAACAATATAGTTTGACTTTGATCATCATCACTGCTGAGTCTCATAAAACTTAATACAATGGAAAATGGTGTAGATTAGAGTTGAAGCAACCTGCAAATCAGAAAGTGCTGATTTCCTAAGCATCTCCCGTAATATAGTGTTACATATAGTGTTATATGTCTTCTGTTCGTTGAGAGGCTAATTAATTTGTGTTAAATTCTTGGATGTTGTGAAAAGCAGTCAGAGACTTTGTTCAGTACAATATTGCACCATTGAAAATGCAAGTCATGCTGCTTGTTTATGAGGGCAACTCCACCACCACAAATACACCCCAGATAAATTTGGATTAGCAGAATTGCAATTCAAGGTCATGTTTCAGTGCCAGCAGCTCCTTCCAGAAACAAAAGCTCCCTATAGAAGGAAATATTTCTGGATACCTTGAACTTTCAGTTCCCAAATCAGAACAGGTTATGTGAAAGGACGGTAGAATTATATGATCATTTAGCATTTGCAAATAAAAACAGTGGCATTTACTGAACCACATGACAACCTATTATATGCAGCCTTATTAAAACTTGGTTCTCCTCCACTCCTGCAACCACTCTTGTGTTCGATAAACTTTGCTATTCCTGAGTCTGACAAAACATTGTTTCCTCCTGTGGTTAGACCACTTATACAAGATTTTTTTTAAAGTACCCTCAGATTGCAATGTAATTTATTTTTCCATTCTCTTCTGACTAACCCATATGCCAGGGATATATATATATATATGTATGTATGTATGTATATATATATATATATATATATATATATATATATATTTATATATTTATATATATATTTATATATATATAATGTTTTCTGAGGTTTTCGTGGGTATTTGTATGTAGGTCTTTGGATATTCGGGTTTTCTCCCGCGTAAAATTGGCAGTGTCTTGGCGACGTTTCGACGAAGTCACATTCGTCATCTTCAGGCTGGTGTCTTCACTTTCCTGCTTCTGGGAGTAGTGTGTGTGATCGCAGTTGTTTCTTCCTTTTAACTGCCAGTGGGGTTTGAGCTGATTGGGTGGGAGCTTGGCTGTGTTCTGATTGGGTGGAGGTGTGTTCTGATTGGTTAAGGAGCTTGGCTGTGCTCTGATTGGATGGGGGGTTGGCTGTGCTCTGATTGGATGGGGAAGAGTTCTGTTTTGGTGGGGGCTTTGTTGTGCTCAGGTTAGTTTGAGTTGCAGGGGGATTTGAGATGATGAGCTTCGTTGCTGTTGTTTGGCTTCGTGTTCGTGGTCGTGCCACATCTTTATGGTGGGTGTCAGTTTGCTTCATGTATGGATTGGAGGGGTTTAAAGTGGCTAATGATGCAGCTGTGGACTGGCTTCTAGTTTGTGGTCGTG